TTCTTTCTTTTGCTCCTGAGGCTGGATATAACTCTAACTACGTCTTATGTAAAAAAAGTCCTTGAGGTGTTCAGGTGCTATTATAAAGAAGGAGAAAAAAACCACTTGAATCTAAGGCAGTATATAGCGCCTCATATTCAGTACTCATGATGTGACTGTAGAAACTGTGGTGATAGTAAAATGCTGGTTGTTTAGTTTGACCCTTCTTGAAGTGCAGAACAGGTTTTTTGCTAGTTTTTTTAACGTGTCTTATTGTAGTTCCATGTTGGAACCTCTTCCAGTTTAAATAGATTAGGCCTAAACAAAAGCTAAGTACTGAATACTATCCAGAATAGAGTATCAAGAGTTAAACAGATGCATAGTTGATATGAGCACTAGTATGTCTACTGTTAGTCGTCTTCATGCTTCAAGGTGCATTATATGTGCATCATTCAACAGTGTCAAGTGTCATTTGTACTATCATCACCCACATTTTCTCTTAAAAGGTGAAGGAATTTTTTCCTAGTGCAACCATCCTTTTTTTTTTTTCTAACTATTTCTTCCTCATTTTTCTAAATAGTCACATGTAATATTTTTCTGAGCATGTTAATTAGTTAATTAATGCTAATTATTAATTGTCTATCAAACAGATGTGAGGAGGCCCAAAACACATGTTTGATGTTATCATCATATCGTATATGCACATTGTGAAAAGGACTGTCCTTGGTTAATAACAACTGTTTCTGCCACTGAAACTGTTTCTGCCATCTCTCTATCATAGTAGGGAAAATTTAAAAATGCATACAATCATAAAATATACTCAATCAGAACTGAAGGTCATGCTGTGTGATGTGGCTATAGGCTCTTCTGTACCACTCTTTACTTTTTGTTATGAATAGCACTGGATCTTTTTTTAGAAAATACACTATAGTAAAATTATTTTGAGTTCATCTGAAGAGCTTGGTTTTTCAGGGAACTCTCCTAGTATACATTTAGGGCAGAATTTTATTTCTTGTAGTAGGTAACCAAAATGCAGTTCTGAGTTATCTGACTAAAGTGCTTGGGTGATTCTGTTACCCACTTTGGGCACATGGGTGCCTCCATTATTGGAACAGGGAGATATCTCTGCATTTCTGGAAGGCAGTCCTGTTCCTATAGTGGGGGCACATTCATGCCCAGGTAACTTAGAGTTGGTCACAAACTTCACTTTAGTTATCCACTAGGTAAAAGAAGTCTGTCTTTAGTGCTCCCAGGCTTAGACACTACATGTTAGTAGCAGTATATAAATACACTTTTTTAACCTTATGATTTTGAATTTTTTATTTTAAGAACTTTTTACTTTCTTACCTGAAACTGTAACTTTATAAATATTATCTTTTGATAATATATTTTAAGATGAGCAAAAATATCCTTTTTAAATTAGCATAAAGTTTCTAAAAGGATTTTACTGCTTTTCTTATAGCTATATGAAACTTCTAAAGTACGCCATGGTTTGATGACACTTGGACCCAGTGGTTCTGGGAAAACAACAGTTATAACTATTCTGATGAGGGCAATGACAGAATGTGGGCATCCTCACAGAGAGATGCGCATGAACCCAAAAGCTATTACTGCTCCTCAAATGTTTGGCAAACTAGATACTGCAACTAATGACTGGACTGATGGAATCTTTTCTACACTGTGGAGAAAAACATTGAAAGCTAAAAAGGGTAGGCAAATATATTGTATGTGATATGATCAATAGATCTCATGAATGCTGTATTTAAAAAAAAGCATCTTGAATTTGCAAATATAGTAAAATGCTTCCTGTAATATGAAGAAATATAAGTTTAATGATAAAGGTAAGGTACCTTCCTTGAGAGAAGGCTGTAGTTTCCATGTTTCTTACTTCAACATGATAATACCTTATCTAAATATAAATCTACATATAGTCTAATCATTTCAGTTTTCCAGTTCAGTACAGAGACTATGAAAAATGTTTTGCCGCTGTAAAGTCATATTCATGATTTATATGGATTAGTTTTAATAGCTTTGACATAATATTTTGCCATGGTCTGAAATGCTTTTAGTAACATGTATTTAAATAACCCAGTATATGCTGTTGTAAAAGTCCTGTTCATAGTAATGTCATAGTTCTCTCTAATTTAAACAGTAAAATATTTTGATATAGGGAAGGAATCTTATTTCCTTATTCATGCATCATGAATATTTTGATAGCTTCAGCTAATGACAGTTCCTTTTTATTGCCTGTGAACTGGAAGGTGGAATTCGATTGGTAGAATAGATATTTTTATGGAGTTTCCTTTTTCTATATAGAAAACTGTTATTTTCCTTTTGATGGTATTATGATACTTCCCTAGTTGTTATTATTGACTGGAAGTCTGTGAAATTCAAAAACTGTCCATCTTGTGATACAAAAACTAATTTAAATGCATGTAAATTGCTTATTTTCCTTGGGAAAGGCCACATTAGTAAGAGAGATGCCATTTATTGGTCATTTTCAGGAAGAATTCAAGTATGAGAATCCTACTTCAAGATATTTTCACTTGAGAAATCCATGTTATTAGCCTCTATCCTGGGTTTATCTGGGCAATAACTTCTGAGAAGAGGTATTTCTAGGAAGGAGAGCTACTACTTGGGAATGCTTATCAGTTGATACAATGTAATAGTTGCATTTTCATAGTCCTGTAGTGATAGAGTTAAGCTAAATCTCTGTAAATGTAAACCTGAAAAGAATAGATTTAGTGTTGATGGTTGGTTATATTTATATCACTACAAGAGCATGCAGATATAATAAGTGCATTGTAACAGTTTATATCAGTATCACTTGATACCACTACAGTTATTAACTCTACCCTCAACCATCCACTGTACCATACCATCAATCCTGAGATCCTTGGTACTAATGAAAATTGTTCATTTATCCCTCATCTTGATTTCATTGGTGACTGCAGTTCTGATTCCAGTCACAATGACACCTGTGCTATTCATATTTTTGGGTGCAGACAGATATAAAAATTGTAGCAGTATCAATTGAGACCAATATAAGCTATTATATCTCAAATATCACATTCTAGGGCTATAAGCAGTTATAATGTAACTGTTACATCTACAGCTCCTACAAGTGTACTGACACTGTTTCTTTCAGGGTTAAACTTAAGGTGTTGTTACACATTACAATCAGCACATGCTGAAGGGTGTGTTAAAGTTAGCACCAGCTATGAGCAGTCACACAGTAAGGGTTAATACCCTCGGTAATGTGCACTGCACTGACCTGCTCCTACAGGACTGGCTAGGAGCTAGAAGCTTTGCTTGCTGGATCTCTAAGATAGTACAGGCTTCAGGATCAGGGCCTCATTAGCCCCTGGCTGGCCTGACCTGGGCCCCCTCCCCACCTGGACCTAGCCCCCTGGGCTTATCAGTTCCCCCTTCTTCCCATCCAGATAGAGACCTAGTCACCTACCCTTCCCATGGCTCCTTTGCAGCTCTCTGCTCACTTGTGGCAGCCTCCAGGGGCTGGGCTGAGTCCAGAGAGTGGTATTGGTATCAGGCAGGTGGGTTTCACCCTCCCTGCCTGTCCCTTCCCCACTTGCTGCTGGAACAGTCTTGGCAGCACAGGTAATCAGGAGGCAGGAGTGGGGACAGATGAGAGGTCCCCAGGGGGCATGAGGGTGGGTGACCCTTGAGGAACAGGGGATAAGCCCTGAAGAACTGGGAGTAGGAGGGGTGAACAGTAAGGGACTAGGGGTGGCTGGGGGCAGGGAGTAAACCCCAAAGGACCAGAAGGTAGGAGGGCAGAGGGATGAGCCCCAAGGTGCCTGGAGTGGGAGGGTGAGCCTCAAGGGACAGAAGAGGTGGGGGGCGGGGGGGGCATAATAGGAACAGGACAAGAGGGAAG